ATATATATATATATATATATAAATGGCTTTTTTCACTTAGCATAATTCCCTTGAGATCCATCCAAGTTGTTGCATGTATCCATTCTTTGTTCCTTTTTATTGCTGAGTAGTATTCCATGGTATAGATATACCACAGTTTGTTTAACGATTTGCCAACTGAAGGACACTGGGTTGTTTCCAGCTTTGGGCTATTGTGAATAAAGCTGCTATATCAACATTCATGTACAGGTTTTTTGTGTGAACATGTTTTCATTTCTCTGGGACGAATGCCTACAAAGTGAAGTCGCTGGGTCATATAGTAAGCATGTATTTAGTTTTGTAAGGAACTGCCACATTCTTGTTCAGAGTGGCTGTACCATTTGGCATCCCCGCTAGCAATGTGTGAGTGATCCATTTTCTCTGCATCCTTGCCCGCATTTGATGCTATCACTCTTTTTTATTTTAGCTATTCTGATAGGGGTCTAATGATATCACATTGTGGTAACAAATAAGATGGCAATCTTTCCAGGTAGTCTCTTTAAGGGTTATATGGTCATAAATCTTGCCATCTTGCAGAGTGATTCTGAAGTTCTTCTTATGGTTCAGGGTCTGTTTTTTCCTCAAGATCCATAACACAGGACACTAGGAGGATGTTTGTACCCCCAATGCCTGGAAAAGGCAGACACTTTGAATCCCATGAGATCCTGAGAAGCTGGAGAACTGCTCCTCATTGTATTAGTCAGGATAGGCCAGGTTATGCTGCAGTAACAAATAGCCCCCAAATCTCAGTGGCTTAAGGCAACAGATTTATTTTTCATTCATGCCACATATCTATCAAGACTTGGATCAAGGGTTGAAGGGTTCTGCCCATCCTACTCGGTCAGGGTCCCAGACCAATGTAGTAGCACCACATCAAGCATATTTGGTCCATGCAGAGGGAAAGAGAAGTCCAGAAGATCTCTCCTCAGCAATTAAATCTCCCACCAACATTCCACTCATCTCCTAACTTTCTAAAACACGTCATATGGCTTCACCCAACTCAAGGGAGTGGGGAAGTGCAAGCCTACTGTATGTCTGAAAGGTGGAAAGCCAGAAATATCTGTTGAACAGCATTAGCGTGAGCCTCAGGCTGTGGGAAGAAGAGCAGGCGGGTCTTCACTGCGATCATCACTAGTCAGGCAGCAGGGCAAGGGCAGGCAGATTAAAAACATAAGAAAATCAGTCTCATTACTTCTAAGCCATACCTTGTTTTTATCCCCTGTACTATTACCCAGCCTTTGGATGCTGGGCTCTAAATGTTGTCTGATTGTGAAAATTAAATTTACCCTTAAAGAAGTAAAAGTTGCACCCCTGAAGATGGTGAAAGAAAAAGTCCAAAGGAAATTCCAAAGAAGAAATATTAGAAATATTCCAAGCAATTTCAGCATCACTGGAGTTGGTGTCCAACCTCACATAGCTCCCTCTTGCTCTGAGCAGACAGCATTGCCTTTGGCCTTACGCTCTGCTTGCTTGTGAAAGATCTTCAAATTCCAAGACTGTGTTGTCTTGACTTGTCAAGCATGAACAAGCATGGAGTGCATTTCTACATCTGATTTTACATACAGGAATCTGGGCTCCCCCCCCCCCCCCCCCCTTTTTTTTTTTTTTTTTTTTACTATTGGGATATATAAATATCTCTCCTCAATTCGGGCTTAAACCTGAGTTCAAGGTATCAAGCATAGAGTTTGCACATAATAGGTGCTCAGAGAATCTAGGATGCTGACTCTGGTATTAAAGTGTCTGGACTGGGAAGGCAGCCCACAGATTCCTTCGACTACCCAGGGTTGGAATTGGCCCAATGCGGTAGGGTCCAGAGTGAATGACTTTGGGTTTAGGTATTAGCTGTTGCCCTTCTGACAGCCCCCTGTTTCTCTAGCCCTTTGCACCCCACCAAGTTCATCTCTTCTCCCTTCCAACCAGCCTGGCCCATATTCATTTATGATACCGTATGATACCATCTTGTTTACATCCCCAAATACCAGCTTAGCAGTAACAAGAGTAGCTGCCGTTTATTGAATGGCCATTTTTAAGTGCTTTTCATATTACCTTTTGTTCTCATAACAACTGTGCAAGGAAGTACTATTATTCCTGATGCATCAGGGAGGAAACTGAGTCTCAAGCGAGATTAAGTGGCTTCTCTGTTTTTTGAATTCACGTCTACTTGACCCCCCAAACCTGGATTTTTCTACCATACTGTGCTACTTCTCTCTCTTTCCTTACTTTACTTAGTATAAGATGGCCCTCTGCCTAGATTTGAGGGTATTATTTGTTGTCCTTATGTTTTGAGTAATATCAAACTTGAAATGTCCAAATTGAAACTATGCCAATTTTATTGTATCCCACTTACACATCTTTATTAATTTGATGATTCTGTCTCTCATATTTGTAATGATCTTTCCATGTCTATTGTGTAATAGTATGCTTTTTTTTTAAAGTTGGAAGAGTTTTTGCCAAATTTGAGTTGAAAAAAGAATGCGTTATTGCCCTTGTGAGTCCATTGTGCATGCTTTCGAAGAATTGCCCCTCATCTCTACTGTGTAGTTTGAAAACTTAAGCTCTTGGGGACTTTTCAGTTCTTGCTTCTAGACAATTCCTCTTTCTGCTTGTTGGTGCTTGTATATCACAGAGTCGTGAATGCCTTTTATGGCTTACACATTTTTCGGACAGCTTACCTTTTCATCACGAGACCTCAGTGATGGCACTTATAATACATTCCAAACAGTCACTTCAGATCAAGAGGAATTTGCACCATGCAGTCACCGCAGTGAAGCTGAAGGTGAGGTGTTAGCATCTGTGAGGGTTGAGGCACGCCAATTAAGATTTCAGAGAAGGCTCGACTGTCAAATAATTGTTGCTGCTTTTGCCTTGGAGGTGATGAGGGAGGAGCCTTGGGTGGGGATGGGTCTCCACTTGCATCCAGTGGGCTACACTCATGGAAAAAGTCCGACAGCTCTGCCTGTGTCCTGCGGCCCTTGCCCTAGGCACAGTGTCAAGGTGCTCACACAGCCAGTCTAGACTTTAGAAAGCTGATGCCTCATGGGTGAAAGTTGGTTTTGCACTGGAGGAGTGTGTACTGCATGTGATGAGGAGCACAGAGAGACAGCATCCTATGTGAGTCACCCCTACCCTCCGGCCCGAATGGAGAGCCCACATGCCAGCTCAGAAGATGGAATGTGATACATCGCCATGCCCACCACGGCTTTCCAGGACAGTGGAGAATATTTTGATCCCTTTTGCTCATGAGTCATAGGGATTTTCAAGACCCTAACACAAACTTCAAAGAGCTCTAAAGATGTTTTCAAAGTCCTTTTTGGATAGTAATGCAATGCTTGTGATGTCCAAGAAAAGAAAATTCGTCAGTCGAGATTCAGACTAAAATTACTTGTGCTCATCAGCAATTTGTGAAGATGCAGAGCGCTTGGTTCTGAAAATAGAACAAAAATGCACATCCAGTCTCTTCTTAGCTCTTCTGGTTAATCAGACTCTGAAAAAGCCTGGCTACAGCCTGGGTTGTTGTTTGGGGCCCTTGAGGGTAAGTGACAGAGATGTCTCAGAAACATCAGTAACTCACAGCCTCTCCATTTCAATTCCTTAAGCCCACATCTTTTTTCTTTGACCAGTAGATGTTTCTGATTAAGCATCCAAATGACTCTTGCCATGTAGGGGAGTTGAGAGAAGGGAGATAGAGTTTCCAAAAGAGGAACCTCTTTTTTTGGAGATCTGTTTGCTTTTCAGACCATTGTAGAACGTTTTAGGAAAGTTCTATTTGGAGACCCAGCTATAAAACTTAGAGTATTAAGTGTACCTTATGACTGCTCTGGCGTCTACATGTATATTTTTACCCACTACATTCTTAAAGAGAAATGACCTTCTGGTGACCTTGTCAACTGTATGGGAATAACACCTCGAGGAGTTATCTGGTGGCTTGACCTACCAAAAGTTGTTTCTTTTGGGTTGATTCTGGCATCACAATTAATCCGTCTTTTGATGGCTTGGTTTCTACCCTGCAGAAAATAGGTTGACAGACAACACTCATCCTTCTGTAAAGAACAGCATTAAAATGACAAGTAAAGCTTGTGAGAAAGTGAGAATTTTTATGACTTTTCCTCAAAAGGTTAGATTATGTTAGAAAATGAAAAATAGCTTTGGAGAGAAGGATAGAAAAGTTTGAGGACCAAGCAAATCAAGATTATTTCCTGGGATCTAATACTTGATATATTGGAAATTAGATATCATGTACAAAGCTACATAAAAGAATATTTCTTTGTATTGCAAAGACAATATGACAATACTCCATAAAATAAGGAGTATAGACGAAGAAAATATCATGGTCCCACAACTCAAGCAAGACAGACCATCTTCATTGTGAAGCCATCTCTGGCATTCTTTGTCCATATGTGGACATGCATATTCTCATGCTGAACGATTTTGAGGCCTGTGACCTTTGTGTGCATTATAAACATATTTTCCCATGTTGTGTAGTTGTCTCCAATGTTATAATCTTAGAGGATGCAAATGTTCTACTTAGAGATGAACCAGCTTCCTATCCCTTGTGCCTGGATGGACAACAGGTGCTCCATAAATGTTTGTTTACGTAAGGAGACGCAGGGCATCTGAAAAAATCATTTTTGCCTGGGATGGAAGGGAAAGAGATTTTATAGTTTGTCAATCGCTACTCATATCCTTTCCTTGCACACGATGTTCAGCATAACTGATATGATGGCAGCAAACTTCAGTAGGCTGAAAAATAAGGGCAAACTTTATTGCATACATTCTGCCCAAGCAGCCCCTTCATTTTGAGGGACAGCACAAAAGGAGAGGGCCCATCAGGTAGCCGTGGGTTTACCGTATAGTACAGTGCTTGCCACAACTTTGTACACGAACTAGGATTTTAAAACTTGAGTCACTGTTACAGAGTTTACTTAACACTTTAATAAAAACAGGCTCTCTGGCATCTCATTGGCCTCACTGGCTCAGCTAAGTGGGTGTGGGCTCTGGCTGGTCTGGGGGCTGCATCACCACCAGTTCAGAGTCTGGGGAATAAGTGGGTGGCCAAGGAGAATGGCTTTAAAAGAAAGGAGCAGAAAGAAAGCAGGACCTCCCTGGTCTCTTGATACTGTGGGTGTCACATGGTGAAGGCCAAGTTAGAGGGTCTAAGTGAGGATGCCTGTACCCCTGGTTCCTTTGGGAGTGCTGAAAAACCTACCTTGAGATCAAGCATTTTCTCTACTTTCTTTCATTTCTTCAAGCCTATAAATAGAACATGTCTTTGACTCACCTTTAGAGGTGGGCCACAAGCAGAGACCACAGGCTGTATTGGGAAGTGCAGGACGTGGAGAGACCCGAACCGGTTCTTGCTTTACCACGTGCCACTTGCATTCCTTGGATGGATATCTTAAACTCTTTGACCTGTGGCAGCCAGAGATCCAGAAAACAGATCAGCCCAGCAGTGGCTCGGGAGGGATGGTGGGTCATCTGCCTCGAGTCCCAGTGGTGTCTTCATTTAGCCTGTAACACGCATGTGTTCTTCGCTGAATGTCTTCACAGGAGCCATCAACTTCCTGCGCTCTCTCCTGGAACCAGATCCCGTGAAGAGGCCCAACATTCAGCAAGCACTGGCAAACCGCTGGCTCAATGAGAATTACACGGGCAAAGTGCCGTGTAATGTCACCTACCCCAACAGGTAATCAGGTGCACACAGAGGGACCCCTTCTTGGGCCAGATGAGGCCTGTCTTACGAGCCCTGAATAGTTCTGGACAGGAGGCTGTACACGATTCAAGGAAATGCTGCGTCTTCTCTTGGCTGCCCTTCCCCCTCCGCACCCACACATCCACAGACAAGAGGAAGCAGAGACAGGGCCATCCCATGCGGTTGTGTAGAGTGCGCCCTGCAGTGGGCGCCCAGTGGAGGTGCGTGGAGGCTGAAATCCAGGCCACATTCCCCTGTCAAACCTGCCCTGGAGGACCTGCCTAGAAAGGTCTGGAAATATCCACCAAGTCTTATGAAAGCTGCAGCACTAAGTTCTTCAAATGAGGTGGGCAGGCAGGGCTCTATCTTGGAGAGAAATTTCTAGAGGAACTTAAGGGGGTGTGGGTAGACATTCCTGGAGTCTGCATCCACACTGCTGGGCCAAATTTACACTCAGCTATGGCCATAGATAAGGGGGTTTCACTCAGTTGCCTTCTAGAATTCTAGCATTTGACTCATGGGAGGTAATTTAAACAAAGTCTAGGTTACTTAGGTTACCAAGGGAACCTGGAAATAGACTCTGGTTTCCAACACCAGCTCGATTTGGGCCAGTATCTGAAACAGACACCAGAAATATTACCCTACTGTGAGACGGAAAGCAAAGCTGAGGGGCCATACTTCATTACCAATGCTCATAATGGGTAGCAGCACCAGGTAATGCTTTCTGTTAAAGGAGGGGGCATTGGTGACAGCCAAATGAGTCATTAGGCTAATGTAATCACCATCTAAATGAGCATAATCAATCCACTCAACACGGCAGCTGTTGAAGGAAGTGGAGCTGGTATTTCAGATATGGTCTCCCCCCTCCTTGTTGGCTGCGTCTTCATTCACAAGGAATCGTGCTGTGGCATCTCATTTTGTAGCTTTTCCAGAGGTAGTAGACAGGCTTTTGTAGATTAAAACTTAAATTGAAGTATCCTGTATTGGTATTGCCAGACTAGTAATTTTTGCAGTGAACTTGGTCAGAAGCATAAAGGCTGCACATGAACTAGTTAGGTTGTAAAAATGGCTAAGATCTTGTATATTAATGAAAACAGCAGCTCTATGTCTTCTGTTTATGTAAGGCCCGTTACTCATTTTATACTAGAGGCAAATCCATGTTCGGTTTTTAAGTAATGAAACCAGAAATCTGAACTGTTGGAGGAGGCCCATGTTATTTATAGTCTTTATTTTGAAAAATGTTTAAGGCAAAAATAATATGCTTTTGATAATTTATTTTTCTGGTTTTATCAGCATACAGATAAACGGAGTAAGAACATGTGACCAGGGAAAGGAATATTTTCTTTATAAAGTATATTTTATAGCTTCCCAACATAACTAGCCCCATTTAATTATTTTAGATGTGTCAGTATTATCCTTTTGGGAAAGAAAGAAAATAAAGATCTGTGTTTTATATCACTCTTCTGTAAAGCCTTCTGTTAATCACTTGGGCCTCCAAGTTGATCTCCAAAATGCAAGAGTAAAATGTCTTTAAAAGTAAACTTTTTATAATAAATGTCATGCTGGTCAGTCAACAGATGTTTGCTGTGTGCCAGGCTGGCCTCCCTGTTCTGGGAGCAGACGTTTTTACAGAGCAAACCTTGGTTGCTTCCTCTGCCTCCCTGCGTGGGCCTGGATAGTCTCCCACTCGTCCAGTTAGCTCTGGAGATGGGTGGGAAGGCAAGGAGGTCATTGATAACACAGGACAGAATTAGAGCAAAGTGGTATACAAACGGATTTAATGAGAATTTATTCTGTAAGAATTACACCTAGTGTTCTGGAACATTTTACCATTGTCTGTATCATCCAAACACGGAGAGATAATACAAATTCAATAACTGATATTGGACAGCACCAAATATATACACTGCTTACTGAAAAAATGTTTAATATGTTACTCTCAGTCAAGAGTCAGTGGACAGTCTGCATTTTGGCAGAGCCCTCCTGTTTTTTTAAGACAGTGGATATGATGGGAAGAGATGGGGTGTCTGGTCCTGCTCACTTCCCTCCTGTCACCTCCACCTCCCAGCACCCCCCCAGCCCCCAATCCCCTGTAGCACCCCAAACCCCAGCACTGGCCCTTCCAGAGCCTGCTCCCGGTAGAGGGCGGGCAGTCTGTGTGTGGCCCTGAGTTGATTGGCATGGGGCAGAGTCACACAGCCATGATCTGATTGGCCAGGGGCTAGGGTATGAGTATGGTCTGATTCGCCAAGGTCAGGGCACAGCAGTGATCTGATTGGCCAGGGGCGGGGTCAAGTGGCGGGTCATCTGCTTCGCCAGAGACAGGGCCACTCCCACGCAGAGGTTACCAGGTAGTTTCAAACAATCCAGGCTTCCTTGTGGTGTTTTGGCAAACTTCAAGTAATCGTATTCCTTTTTAATAAACATTATTATTTTTTACCATTAGTCATTCCAGCCACTTCCCACTCGTTATTTAGAATTTGTGGCCAAGGAGTGAGGAAGGCAGATGTCGAGGTTCTTGGGGCACGTTTTCTTTGGACTGCACTTAGTCAATTCCGGGGGAGGGAGGGCTGCGGCAGCTTACACCGACCGGTGGTAGAAGGTGGTCAGCAGACCTAGGTCTGCCCCTGTCGCTCCTGCCATCTGGCCTGTGAACTTGGCAGGTCGGTTTCCTCCTCTGTACCATTATGGGGTTGCACTGTGCGGTTTCTCAGGGGGCTATACTTCTGAGGTTACATTAGAAATGTCTTTGGACCCTTTAAGGGGATCTACAGAGCTCTCCAGCCAGATGTGCTTGCCTTCTGCTCCCAGAGTGCCCTATTTGTATCTTAAGGGACTTAGAATGTTCTATCTGATAACACACCTCCACTACCAATACGCATACTCCCTCTACCCCTCAGCCTGCTTTATTGCTCTCCACGGCCGTTCGACCTGTCTATTTATTTGAGAGGTGCTGAGTGTAGAGGTTTAGCTTCTAGACTCTAAGCCAGGCTGCCCGGGTTCAAATTCTGGGGCTGCCTCTGCGACCCCAGGCAAGTTCACTGCTGTGGGCCTCAGTTTCTTCATCTATAAAATGGGGATAATAACAGTAGCTACCATAAGACTGTCATGAGGGCTAAATGAATTTATTTTCTCTTCTCCCCGCTGGAATGTAAACTCCATGAGATGGGGACTTGTTGAATGAAAGAATGAGTGGATAAATGAATGCCTGGTGTTTCTTTGGCACTTCATCCCAAGGAGTTTATCTTCCTAATACTTCTGCAAAGAAGCTTGAACCTGTCCTCTGAGAGCACCTCACTTGACAGCTGAACCCCAAATTCCCTACTTGTGAACTTGTGAGCTCACACTGTTCCTTTAAACACAGCCTGGGCTGGCTCCCGAATACCCTCCTTTCCCAACCCAACTTACACCCAACTTAAGTGGACTTAAGTTGGACTTAAGTGGACTCCACCCACATCCAACAAATACATTTTAAGGAAAGAATGTCAAATTGTAAGAAAAGTTGGGGACAATTGCGAAAATTCGAATATAGTCTAGATGTTAGACAATATGAAGAGATTATTAAAATTTTGTTGGGTATGTTGACTGTATTGTGATTCTGCAGATGTCCTTGTTTTTAAAGATGCACACAGAGGTGTTTAGGAATGAAATGCCACAATGTCTGTGATTTAAAATACTTACCAAAAAAATATAGATGACCAATTGGTACTCCCAGGTGTTGAATACACATAACGGTAATTATACTCTTCCCTTGACTTTTCTGTATATGTGCAATTATTCATAATAATGAACGAATGAATGAGTGAATGAGTGGACCTGATTGTCCCGTGCTACCATGTTTGTGAGCATCACTAACAAAGCCCCAGTGCCTCTCCGTGAAGGTGGAGAGGTGACCGGTGCTCTGTCCCTCTGCCGCACAGGATTTCCCTGGAAGACCTGAGCCCCAGCGTGGTGCTGCACATGACCGAGAAGCTAGGTTACAAGAACAGCGACGTGATCAACACTGTGCTTTCCAACCGGGCCTGCCACATCCTCGCCATCTACTTCCTCTTAAACAAGAAACTCGAGCGCTATCTGTCAGGGGTGAGTGGGGCCCTCGTGGTGGTTTTCTCTTCTCTCTGTGGACAAAGGAGCTCTTACACCCCAAGTCTTTCCCAGTTGCTGACACTTGATCTAAGCTGTTAATTTAAACTAATGTGGGATAAAAAAGTAGCAAAACCTGCTTCTCGGGTACCTAGCTCTTTTTATCTGAGGTGTTTTTCAAATATTCTCCCACAAAGTTAAGCCCTGGGGAGCATTGTGAGAGATTCAAGCCTCTTTCCCCTCAGCTCCTCTGTTGCCTTTTTTGTTCTGCTCTCTCTTAGTTCCTTGGGTTCCTTCCCCACGTTAGAGGCATTGGGGACTTCTGTAGTCATTAAAGGGCCTCTTAGGCATTCATCTCTAAAGCATGGTATATGAGAAAGCCACTATTTATATTTACTTCTCCAGAAAATAAGAATGAAATTGAACTTCACTAGCTTGACTCGGGCCCCTTCTCTCAGTCTGAGCTTTAGAGAGTCCAGGTGTCTGGGCAACATGTGAGGTACAGCTGGGAGTCCCGTAGCCTGGGGTGGACAGTGGTACCCTCTTGTCTTGGTCACCTTCATCCTTCTGCCACAAACAGTTCATATGTGGCTGGCTAAGGGAATTTACATGCTTCCGTATCTAGTTTTGGCTAAACCATCTCTCTCCAAATGGACAATGGCTTAAAAAGAATTCTGCAAAGAAAACCGGATCAAAGGCAGTATGGGTTCTGCATACCAGTCCTATTGTTTCTCCTGCTCAGAATGGTGGGGACTAACAGGAAGTCAACCAGAGAGATTCAGAACTGTCAGGGAGCCTGTCTGAAATTTGATTTCGTACCCAGTCATGAAGGATGACCTTCACCCCATGTATATGGTGACCTGAGATCTGGTTGTGTGGGTCGACGCTGTTAGGAAGACATCCAGAACGTGAAGGTGAACTTCTAGAGTTTTTCAGTGCTATTTAAAGTCATGTGATAGCCCAACGCATCACAAAATTATACTAAATAATAGGCTTAGAAACCTTTTGTGAAGTTTCTATCTTAGAGCTGAAGACGAAAATCCACCTACAATTGGGGAAATGATATTTTCCCTGCCATGGCAGAAATGACCAAAATAATGCGCAGAAGACAAGATGGTGAGAGTGTATCTCTTGTTAGCAAATAGATTTGGGAGACTTCTAGAAAACACTACTGAATCGTGAGAAAGCTCCACGGGAAGTTTGTTAAACAGTTGGATGAGAGTACAGATGTTTCTAAGCTGATTCAGCTAAGGGTATTTGCTAGATTTTGCTTCAACAGGAAATTATTCACAGAACTCCTTTTTTTGGTGAACCACCAAAGGAAAGATATACGCGAGAAGAAACATTCTCTATAGTCAAGGCTTTTAATAAGAGCAATGTTTTATGGGGGAAAAAACACGTTCCATGTAAGCAGTAACGAGATGGCACTTCTGATGGTGACAGATATGCAGCTTTGAGGCTTGATCTTAGAGACAGTGCCACTGTCACAGGAAAACTGCAGGAGAGCAGTCAAGGCCAGAAAGACCAGACCTTCGACAGATAGTATATTATTGATATCATTTTATTCTGTGATAAAGAGTGATTAAGAAAATCTCTTATATCACACAGAGGTTCTTATTCTATCACCATGAGGAACTTGAAAAACATATTGAACTTGAAGCTGTTTCTTATTTCTCTTTTATAAGAAGACCATATGTCCCACATTCTTTCTTATCTTTTTTAATTCCTATTTTATTCTGTATTTTATAATGTACATGATATAATAGTGGTACATACTCCCAATGTATAAATAAATATGCCTGTATTGTAGGTGCCTGCTTATGTTTTCACTCATATGGGTTCAAGGTCACACCATTTGGGGACCATCATGCTAGAAGATGATAGTTAAGAGTTTAAATAGTTCTCAAGTAAAAGGAAGAGAAGAAGGTCAACACGCTGATTTTCCTTTTCAAATGATGAGTATTGTTCAAAAATTAGTTTTTAAAAAGTGTTTTCACAAAACTGACTATAAAGTTGATGATTTCTCATGTTTAGAGGATGATATTGCTACTTTGCTAAGAAAGCCAGCAGATTCAAACCTTCTTCTTTTGGTAGAACTAGTTCTTTGGATACTGATCCATGAGATGGAAGGGCTTTAGTTTTTAAAGTAGTTTCTTTCCTGTGTCTACCTCTGCATCTACAGATACAAACTTTGGTTATTCAGACTTAGCCTAAACAATCACAGAGCTCATCCAAGCAATAGAGACGTTGGTCTGAAGCCCTGAAGCTGGATCTTGATTTCTGCGGGTGTCTTGCCGGCTGCTGTGTTTCACTCCTCCTCTTTGCCCAGCATTGGGGTTGCAAGTGTTGCAATGTTGCAAAGCTGAGCATGGCTTTGTCTACTGAGAACATTCCCTGGAAACTCAGCTAATGTAGTTCTGACCCAAGAAAGTTCTTATTTTGTTGTATCTGTTTCGCACTTAACCCTTAAATCACAGGATGTACCTGGTCCGAGAACCAGCGTCTAGGCAAGTGCTGTTTTTAACTAGAGCAAATGAATCCCCACAGACAACTACAGCTGTCTGCTCAGTAATCTCCGCACATGGCTAATTTAATTGCACCGTATGCACTGTCCCAGTTATTAATCTCATCAGCCAATTACTAACAGCCCACGTATAATTTTGAAAAAGAAACTACTGAACTAGAAAGTAAATATTATACCTTAATTATTTGTCATTTCTTCTCTTGTCTTCCGATTCTCGTTTCCTCTTTCTAAAACCAAGAAGCATGCATTTTAAGTTGGAGAGCCTGTAAGGGCATTCTGTGAATATTTGTTGGTGGATAAATTCATCAATCAGTCATTTAATTTCAGCTGTCTCCAGACGGGATTGCACCTAAATTGTGCATCTAGATCATCATAGGTGCGGTGTCTATCTTCTTCTTCAAGCTATATTATGAATCGCTGCGACTTTTATTAGGGGAGTGGGCAGGGACCAGGGCTGTTTTTAAATAAACAGATAAGCGAGATCTGTATCCTATTTTGTAGTTCAATAAAATAAGTTATTCTTCCCAGCTCACGTATTTGGTTTCTGAGAGTAGACTTCATTGCACAGAGGAAAGAACTGAGGCCCAGCAAGGAGCAGCCGCCTGCCCAGGGTGACCTGGCCCTTTCCGGGCACAGCCAGTAACAGAAGCAGGTCTCCTGACTCTGGGCCCAGGGCTCTCCCCGCACTGCATCCGGCCTGGAGGCCATCCTCGGATGAGGCTTTGCATTACAGTGAACGGGCTTGCCAACCACTTCTGGCATTTTTTCAGCCAAGCGCTGGTTTAAAAATTAACGACTGCTTAATTAATGGACATTTCAGTTTCCCATGAGTTAAGCCACGCTTGTTTTCTCTTCTCCTCTGGTAGAAATCCGACATCCAGGACAGCGTCTGCTACAAGACCCAGCTCTACCAGATAGAAAAGTGCAGGCCCACCAAAGAGCCCTATGAGGTGAGTGACCCCCAAAGCAAAACCCAGGATTGCTTAGGAAGAGTGGATTTCCATCTGGGGAGGAGAGTGGAAAGGAAACCACTTATTATGCATCATAGACATAGCAAAAATCAGACACTTGACTGAACCCTGGAGAGACAGTTTACAGCAGAGCACCATCGCTCAGTCCCCAAATGAGGGTTCTCAGCTGTGGCTGCACGTTAGAATCACTGGGGAGCATTGATCTTTGGGTGCCCAGGCCACACCTCAGACCAAGTCCATCGAATCCCAGGGCGTGGGACTTGCGGTCAGTATTTTTTAAAGTTCCCTGGACAATTCCACTGAGCAGCCAAGGTTGGAAACCTCTGACACTGTCAGATCTCTAACAGGTAAAAATGTAAGCAAATGTAACACTTGGCATCAGGAGAAGAAAGTAAGATGAGGAACAGGGATAAGTTATGGATGAAAGCAAGATTTTCCAGTCTGCTCTCCCAGGTGACTTGATGCTACCTGGCACATACCTGAGAGAAAATACCAAGATTCTTTGAATTCAGTGTAAAAACTAGGGATATATGGCAAATTTCCCAAATTTGGACCCTGAAAGCATGCTTGTAAAGAGGTCGTGCCTGGGAACTCCAGATCCAGGGCCAGGAGCATGGGGTGAGGGTGCTCCCCGACCCGGAACTCCTCACTCGCCATTTTGTCAAGTGGGGCTCCTCTGTCTTCTCAGTGATTTTCCTGGGAACCCACTTCCATTTCCCCTTTGGAGCCTCTTCCATGTGCTCCGAGTCCCCCGTCACAGGGGTCTCTCCAAGACACGTAGGAATTCCTTCCTTTGAAGAGAGATCAAAAAGAGACCCTTCCTCCATGCCCTGCGTGAGGCCGATGGGCTGCCCACTGCCCTCTTCCCTCTTCCGGCTTGAAGTTTTCATCCTGATTCCACAAGCCACACGTGTCATCAGGAAAGGAGGTTGTTCCGGGTTTTTCTTGAGTGCCAGGCTGGCCCGTGCATGGCTTTTAGGCTGGGGCCAGGAGAGCGGAGGTGATGGAGGGGCCAGACTCCCCTGAGCTCCAGACCCTCTGGCCAGTTGCTTACTAAACCTCCTCGTGCATGAGTGGAGGTGTCTCAAATCCAGCGTGCCCAGAACCAAACGCCCTCCCCCCGCCCCCACCCTTCTCTGTCTCCAAATGGCAGCCCTGCCCTCGGTACAGGGCAGAAACCCAGGAGTCCTTTTAATACCTTCCCCTCACCCCCAGAGCCAGTCTGTCAGCAGGTTCTGCCAATTTGACTCCTAAAGCTCTCGAACCCCTCTGCTCTCTCCATCCCCATCCTCCTGCTCCAGTCCCCGGGACCACGGTCTCTTGCCTAGACCTCTGCCACAGCCTCCTAACTGGTCTACCCCCTTCCCCGTGACTGCCTGGCTCTGTTCTCAGCACGCCAGCCAGAGCGAGCTATTTGAACTCGAACCAGATCATGTCACTTCCCTGCTTGAAACCTTCAAAGGCTTCCTTAACCTGGAAGCCAACCTCTGTGATGTCGCCACCGTGTCACGGATTGGACTGGCCTCTGCTTGGTTCTCCAGCCTCGTCTCCCAGGCCCACACACAGCCCTCCTACTTGCTTTGTGCTCAGTCCCACGGGCCTTCAGACTTCTGTGCTCTCTTGGCTGCGAGGGCTGTGAACACCCTGTTCCCTTTTCCAGAATGTTCTCCCCACCCCTCTTTGCTGAGTTAATGTCTGTATATCTTCAGATCCAAAGGCAGGGTCAGTTTCTCATGGACCGCTGCCATTCTCTGACCTCTGCCCCTGGGTCACATCCCCGTAGTACAGGCTGTCACACCTCATTCTGCATCCTGGGGGCTTGTCCCATTTGCAGTGTTACATTTTCAGGGATTATTTGATGAACGTCTCTCTCCCACTCTGGACTGTGAGTCCCTAAGAGCAGGGACTTGATGCCCATGTCCTTGGTTGCCCTCACACCCGACCCCCTGCGGTGCTGTGTTTGAAAGTATCAGAACTGTGATGGGAAAGGGGCCTCTTGTTTTCATCCAGATTATTTTTCCCGGATGATGATTTCGTTTGGCCTGAAAACACATGGTGAACGTTTTAAACATTTGTTGAAATGCTTAGCGGTTAGGGTTTAAATAGGAACACTAATGGAAAAACACAATTTCAATTTTCTATGATCCATTTGTTTTCTCCAACTGCGGCAATACTTCTGCTAATTAAATTACAGGCTATTACTAGATTATCCAACACGTCTCCGTTGGAACCCAGAAAGTGGAGTGGGGCCAGTTAGAAAAAGTGTTAAGAAAGTCTGAAAGAGCTCAGATTTTCTAGGAGAAGCCAACTCAGAGCCTCTTTGGGTTTCATTCCAGTTGCTGTCAGCTGGTCCAGGAGGAGAAGCCGCCAAGCGGCAGGGGAAGGGGAGGGTGGGGAGGGGAAGAGGTGCATGGAAGATTCAGGTTGTGCCCAAGCTGGCTGGGGGTGGCTCAGGGGCCGTGGCCCTGCACTGAACGCCAGCGACGGCCTCCTTGTTCTTCCCGATTCCAGTTCTTTTTCTCCTAGGAGACAAAGGAGCTGAATTAAGTTGGAAAAAACCTCCCTCCTGGGATGACAGTGCTGTGATTTATGACGTCACCGCTCTCTACACCTCTTCTTCCTGTAAGAGGCAGAGACTGTGTTTGCAAAAAGTAGGACACCTGTCTGTTCTAAGAACACCTCAGGCCTGGGCCCCAGGGACTCCTCTTCCTAAAAAAGAGGCCCTTGAGGACCGTGGGGGTTGAGGTGGGACAGTCCTCATTTCTAAACTGGCCTATTAAAGCCATATAGAGCCAGAAGCCATTTTTGTTAAAGTCTTTAAAGATAATGTTAATTTGTAGAAAAATGTAACATAGAACTAGGAAGGCTTCTCTGTAGTGTCAAAGTAATGTTGCACTTTGGGAAGGAAAGTTGTGCAGAGCGTGGCAGAAGGACCGTATGAGCTGGCTAGGACTGCCGTCACAAAGTACCGTAAACTTGAGTGGCTTAAACAACAGAATGTATTGTCTCACAGTTCTGGAGGCCAGAAGTCTGAGATCAAGGTGTCAGCAGGATTGGTTCCCTCTGAGGGCTGGGAGGAAAAATCTGTTTCGTGCCTCTCCCATAGCTTCTGGTGGTTGCTGGCAATCTTTGGGCTTCCTATGCTTGTAGACACATCACCCTGATCTCTGCCTTTATCCTCACATGGTGTCCTCCCTGTGCGTGTGTCTGTGTCCGATTCCCCTCTTTTGATAAGGACACCAGTCAGCCTGCACTAGGGCCCACCCTAATGACTCATCTTAACTTGATTACCTCTGTAAAGGTGACACCAACAGGCCCCCTTGTCTAAGGCAAAGGAGAATGAGCTTTCTCACTCCTGCTCCCCCCTGAGCTTCAAAGCGGACATGAGAGTCCTGTCCTGACCCTGGTTTCAAATAAAGTCACATTCTGAGGTCCTGGAGGTTAGGACTCTAACATAGGAATTTTGGGAGATACCATTCAACCCATGATGGGGATTATAAGTTGAAAGGTAAAATATTAACATGTTCACTTTGTGTCTTATTTCAAAATCTATACAACTTTTAAAATAAAGTTTAGAGTCAAACAATCTGTGCTATTAGAAATCAGAATGGTAGTTACCTTTGGGGACCGGGAGAGGATACAGTAGGAGGGACCTCCAGGTGCTGGTTGGAAGCGTTTTTGCTGTTTGGGAAAACGCATTGAGCTGCTTTCTCATCATTAGAGCGCTCCTCCGTTATGTGTCTCGGACTTGAATAAAACACTTACCTGGAAAATCTGTTCAGTGCGTGAATTAGGACATCTGCTGCCTGCTTCCACAGTCATTTAGGAGTTTGGTTTCCTGTCTATAAACATTGAAAGGAAATTTCCAACCAGAGCTGCGAGTGGTAGGGGAGGGAGTTTAGAGAATAAACAGCAGGTGCAGCTTCTTGAATTGTTGAAAAATGCTGCTTTCCACAGGCCTCCCTGGACACCTGGACAAGAGACTTTGAATTCCATGCTGTGCAGGTAGGAATTTGGGGGGTTATGATGGATTAGTCAGTTCTCCAGGGAAGCAGAACCAATAGGGTGTATGTGTGTGTGTGTCTGTCTCATGCTTGGACACACAGGGAAGAGTTGATATTTCAGCTTGAGTCCCAAGGCCTTCTGAAGGCAGAATTCCTTCTTCCTCAGGACACCGCCGTCTTTTTCTCTTAAGACCTTCAACTGATTGGATGAGGCCCACCCACGTTGTGGAGGGCAATCTGCTTTACTCGAAGTCTACTGATTTACGTTACTCACATCTAAAAATTACCTTCACAGAAACATCTAGACTGGTGTTTGATCAAACATCTGGGTGCCATGTCCTAGCCCAGTTGACACATGAAATTAACCATCATATATGACCCTGAGGGTTGGTGGATCCCTGACCAGGTCTCTGGACTCTGTACACCCCTGTCCTTATCCTAAATTAAAACATGCAGAATCCTGTTGTGAGTGGGTTTATCAGAATCCCCTCAGATCAGATTGGTGCTTTCTATGTTTAATTGACTGTTTTTCATTGTCTTGCTGTAACTACACGCTTGGCTATGCATTCATGTTTCTACCTGTATGAGAAGTGGGGTTTGCAACAGAATTTCCCAGCTCAGCGGCCTAATTTATGAACCAAGCCCTTTTTATCTCAACTCGTTCATGTTTTTCCTATGGCAAAGTCAGGCCTCTGTGGCTGTTCCTTATGTGATGCACAGCAAGGAACCAAAATCAACAAGCAAACAACACCTGGGCCCCTGGGCCATCCCAGGTGTTCACGATCTGCACCTAGTTCTGATGTCCCCAACAGCCAGGTGAGGTTAACTCATCATCAAGAGGACACCATACTCCAGAAAAGCCCACGCTAAGCTGGACTTGACAGTTACTCAAAGAAAACAGCTTCAGCTCGGCTCAAGTCCCCAGGGCTCCTCTGCTGCCGGCATCATGCTCTGTGGTCAGTTTCTCACTGCATAAGGGGCAAGGGCACTGTGCTGGGCAGCAGTCCTTCCTACAGCCTGGGGTGGTGAGGAGGTGTGTTTGCATCTGTCCTGGTTAAATTGATGCATTTGCCTTTCAGACGATGAAGCAGGTAAGATGTGAGGTTCATTTTTATACTGGAAGAGCTGGGAAGGACCCACCCTTTGGTTACAGATGGGGAGACACTTCCCTCAAGGGGAGTGACTCGCTGAAGGTCACCCGGCTACACCCACAGGAGCAAAACTGGGAAGCAAGGGGGAGGGGTGTGGCTCTTTAGAATGCAGGAGCCTGGAGCCACGGGGCCCAAGGGGACCAGCGCCCTGGAGCTCAGAGCTCAGAGGCCAAGGCTGGCTTCCTCCTCCCACTGGCTGTCGAGCCTTCAGACATCTCCCTCTGGAAGCCCGGTGGTTCATCACTCACTGGCTTCTTCCTCTCCTCCATCAAACAATCCATGACATTAAAAGAGTCTTGGGTAGATTAATCCTTTATGGGGCAATATTTTCAAAAGTGTCCAGTTTTGTACATGTCCATGCATATGCAGTGGGTAGAAAATGGTTTAAAGAAAACAAGAAGCTGTTTTGTGTGGGGCTTGCATCTGGGTTTCATTGGTCCCCTCTCTGATCTGCCTTTGGGGTTCGGGACTATGCAGTGAAGGTGCACGAGGCCCCTCTGAACCGCAGTTTAGCTCCCTTGCCCGCCCTCAGGCGCTTGCGGGTGAGGGGCGCACCGCCCGTGAGACTCAGAAGCCGAAGAGGCCCTGCAGGAGCAGCATTGCTGGGAGGGGAGGGCGGGAGTGGGTGCAGGCCTGTCGAAGGAGGAACATAATTAGTCCTTCTGAAAATCTGTTTCTGTTACATAAGGCAATTTAGCATCCTGCTCCCTAGGAAATTTATTTTGGCGAAAATAGGCCATGCAAATGAAAAGGCATAATTGGATGATCAGTTGCATTTGCTAACCTGTGCTCGGAGGGCCATGAGACTGGCTGCTTGTAAACAAACATGTTTCTTGTGGGCTGTTGACCCTTCCACTTGGGCTGACCCAGTGGTTTGTCCCCAGCAGGGAGCGGTTGGTGGTGAATTCTTGGCATCCTCCTAGAAACCGGTCGCCATGGAATCACCCATTCTTTTAGGCTGGAGAAGGGCTTTCTGGGGGGTTTTGGAGGAAACCAGGGTGCAGGATCCTGGGATGAAGTTCAACAGGGTGGCCGTGGCAGGGTTTCCCAGGATTTTCAGTCCACGGTCCATTTCCCCTTTCTTCTGCCCCCAGAGCGGGCTTTCTGCTCGTTGCCAAATATCCCTTTGTTGACTACAGGAGGGATTTCTAGAGCCAACCTTGGTCTCTTTCTACAGAAAACTCTCATGCCTTGTACACCTCTTGGTGCTAATGAACTCTCTCTGAGTGGTGATACGGGCCTTAGACATTTTGCATCTTGATCCCTTAGCTTTTGGGAACCCAAGGAACATTGGGAAGGAGCTGAAATGAACCCATGGAGCCACTGGGGCTCTCTAAGCGTAGGGGTCACAGGGCACCCAAAGAAAGGTGTGCTCATTGTTCTAAAAAACAGTCCTACAAAGAGGGAACTGCAATTGTGTCTTTTCTTCCCAATACTGTCGTACAGTGTATCGCAGAAGTGCATTTGATTTCTTTTTTCCTGTTTAAGGTGTTAAGAGCTAGAACGGGTGACTTTTCTCATAAAAACAGAGATAGAAAGAACGGAGCAAAAGGAGGGAATTCTGCCAGCCTTCTCAGGACAGGCCCGTCGTGTGCCCTTGATGCTCCGCGGAGAGGAGGGAGTGTGAAAGTTCACTCTGCTTTGCCTTAGAGAAGGGGGCCTGTGGGTGTTTCCCAGAAACGGGGAGAGGGAAGCGGTGGAGAACTGTGACTGGCCTTGACCAAGATGACCAGGAGCAGATGGCCTTTCCCTTTCGTAGCATCCTGTTAATGACCTGGAGCACGTGGCCTCCTCCGTGGCCTCCCGGATACTGACCTGGAGCCCTAGGACTACATCACAGCGTGGTCCCTGCCCCTGCGCAGCCGCTGCGAATCGCCTGGCCCTGCCCCAGGCTTCCAGAGCACAGTGTTGAGTCAAGGGTTAAGGACACCGACTTTCAGGGCTATGAAAATCTGACTTTTCATCCGGCTCCTGGGTGAATTACGTAACCACTCCAGGCTCTTCCCTTGTCTGTAGGGAGGATAACAGGATTTGCCTCATCGTGGGTCATGCTCTTAGTGCAGTGCCTGGCACTCCGAGGGTCCTCAATAAAGGCGGGTGATGGCTGTCCTGATGCTGGGGAAGGAGTCTGCAGAAGCTTCGCCTCTCCCTTCTTCCTGCCTCACCCCTCCACTGGGGACAAGCCACCTCAGCCAAGGCTTCAACTCCCAGGGAGCTATGCCCTCACGGTGACACTCAAGGCTCTGCTCAGCATCGCCCCTTCCCATTTCTTCCCTCCTGTTCTTTCCCACCCCAAAACTGGACATAATGAACCCCAATCCATAAAGGCTTTGAAAATCCTCATTGGGAAGGGGGATAGAAGTGTGAAGAGATGCTTGCTTGAGAAGCTTCCCAACAACATCAATGAAAAATAGATGAACTCTCTTGAATTGCAAATGCTCTTAAAGTTGAAAAAAATTTTAAATGTGAAAATCTGTCTTTTCTTCCCTCACTTGTGAGGTCAGGGATTTCTCTGTTTAACAGTAAACACCAAACACAGTCTTTAGGGCCAGGAAAAAACTTCTGCTTAGTGGCATCACTCTTCCCAGAAGCTTGAATTCAGTTAATTTTAATTCAGTTTCCACTGGCTTGTTTTCTTCTTTTTAACATTTCAAAAACTATTTATTAAGCTTTCTCTAAGTGCCTGGCTTTATGCCAGAGGCTGTGGGGTTGAAGATGTATAAAATAGTCAAATTCACTCCCATCAGAGGGATTATAAGCAAGTTCAATAAAAGCAAGATTTACAACAAAAATGGCTGAATAGTGCCACTTTTAAGTACACAAGTAAGTGCTCACATGACCAGAGGGTGGGAAAGGGCCAGAAACTACCCAGGTGGCTCAGGGCTTCATGGGTTTGTTGTCCACCCCCTCGCTTGACGGAACACACGTGACCTGAGGTTAAGATGGAAGCAGTTATGTTTCCCTTGCAAAGTTGCCTTTGCAAAACCACCACCTTGGGCAGAATCGTAGGGCCTTACTTTAAATGAGACGGCAGATTTCCAGAAGTCCTCGTCTGCTTTGCCTTAGTTTGTTCAGCTTGTTCTAGAATAATCGACCACCTAGGCATGACCTTGCTCTTGCTGGAACACCTCGAAACAGCGCGGTTCAGGGAGCTGGGGGCAACCTCAGCCTGCGTGTGGTCCAGGGAGAGGAGGTGGGTTCTCCCGAGCATCGCCGGGCCTCAGCGCTCTGGTTGTTCGACACACAGTTGAGAGCATAGAGTGTTGAAAAACTGGGGTGTCTCACATCTACTCGGATAACTCTTCGAAGACGAATCACGTTGTATATTCTTGTGTGCATCTGAGTACATGTTTGCTTCTGATTTGAAGGATAAAAAGCCCAAAGAACAGGAAAAAAGAGGGGATTTTCTTCATCGGCCGTTTTCCAAGAAGCTGGATAAGAGCCTGCCCTCGCACAGACAGCCCTCGGCCTCGCTCGTCACGCAGATTCAGGACGCCAAGGCCCTGCTGAAGGACCGCAAGGCCCCCAAGTCTGGCTTCCCCGACAGAGGTGGGTCGGCTCGGGGTACTCTCTAGGCCACTCGCGTTGAGCCGCATGGCCGCTGGGTACGCCTCACGGGTGGCTGTGGGACAGACAAGATTCTTGTGCCCGTGGGAAAGCAGAGTTAACGCTCCTGAGGCACCCAGGAACAGTCAGCGTCCAGACTCTGCGGGCTTAGCTACTTGTGTGGGCAGGATTTGCGAAAGGAGAGATGGGGTGCACGGATTGTGGGTGCAGAGATGGGGTGCATGGTATTGTGAGTGTAGAGATGGGGTGCACGGTATTGTGAGTGTAGAGATGGGGTGCATGGTATTGTGGGTGCAGAGATGGGGTGCATGGTATTGTGGGTGCAGAGATGGGGTGCATGGTATTTTGGGTGCAAAGATGGGGTGCACGGTATTGTGGGTGCAGAGATGGAGTGCATTATATTGTGGGAGCAGAGATGGGGTCCAGGGTATTGTGGGAGCACAGATGGGTGCAGGGTATTGTGGGCATAGAGATGGGGTACACAGTGTTGTGGGCACAGAGATGGGGTGCATGGTATTGTGGGCATAGAGATAGGGAGCATTATATTGTGGGAGCAGAGATGGGGTCCAGGGTATTGTGGGAGCACAGATGGGTGCAGGGTATTGTGGGCATAGAGATGGGGTACACGGTGTTGTGGGCACAGAGATGGGGTGCATGGTATTGTGGGCATAGAGATAGGGAGCATGGTATTGTGGGAGCAGAGATCAGGGTGTAAAGTATTGCAGGAGTAGAGATTGGGGTGCAGGAATAGAAATCAGAGTGCAGGAACAGAGATTGGGAGGGATGGTATTGTGGGAGCAGATATCAGGGTGTGTGGTACTGTGGGAGCAGATATTAGGGTACATGGTATTGTGGGAGCAGATATCAGGGTATGTGGTGCTGTGGGAGCAGAGATTGGGGTACAGTGTATTGTGAGGACAGAGATCGAGGTGTAAGGTATCCCAGGAGTAGAGACTGGGGTGCAGGAGCAGAGATCGGGGTGCATGGTGTTATGGAACCAGGGGTGGGTGTTCAGTATTGCAGGGGCAGAGATGGGGTGCAGGAGCAGAGATCAGAGGCATGGTGTCATAGGAGGCTTCACCAGAATAGTGGACCCTGAGAAGCACTGAAGTGTGATTGATAGAGTCTGGAAACTGGAGTAGGGGAGGGAGCTCAAACCCCAGCTCTCAGGCTTGTTGTGGCCCAAATTCCTTACCCTTGGAGGACCTTAATTGCTTCCCTTACTTGTGAAAGGAAACCTACCTGTCAGAGCTATTGGAAGGACTAAATGAGATACATAGGTGGGCTTCTCTGCCTGGTTCAGAGTCTAGCACATCGGGTAACTGATAAATATGAGTCTCCCTCCTCTGGGACGAGCACATCAGGTAACTGCTCTGGAACAATCATTGAGGGATGCAGAAAGGAAGCACCACACAGGCTTAACATACTGAGAAACGGGAGAGGGGGCGCAGGGAGCTGAGGTGTATCCTGCCCTAAAGCAGAACACTGGGATAGAAGAGAGGTTCTTATTACTGAAAGGGGGTGGGAGAGATTGTGCAGTTCAGTCTTCAATCCCTTTCTTTTGAATATGAAGAGACTGAGGGTCACAGAGGGCCAGGGCTGTCTGAGTGGTTCCCTGGGGAAGCAGAAAGGTGTTGGGGAGTTTCAAACAGCACCAAACAGCATGGGTCTTACCCTATGGGAGGCCTGGTTCTCACCCAGGGAAGAGCGATTCCACTTGATTCAATTTCATTCTTAGGTTTCAGAAGGGAGGGGTCTCACCGCTTATCCCTCCTTAGCAGATTCTCCTTTCTGGCTTTTAACCAGCAGCCAATTCGGGCCCTTGACAGTGGTGTCCTGTGGATCTCCCCAGGGAAGGCTAGGCCAGTGCTGCATAATTTGGGACAACTTTGCCACCCCAGAGGTGCAATCCATTCCTTGGTACTTTCCTGGGCCAACTGTCACTGAGTTAGTTTCTTTGCTTTTTGTCTTCATCCTTGGATTTAGGAAATCCCGTCCTGAGAGCATATTAGCTTAGAAGCGCCCGGGAGGCTGTGTGATTGCTAACACAGAGCACTCACTGTGTGGCAGGCTCTGTTTCCGGCTCTTAACTCAACCCAATGAGATTATTCTCACCCCATTTCTAGAGATGAGGAAATAGGCATGGAGAGTTGTCCAAAGTCAGAGAACTGGTAAGCAGCAGAGTCCGGATTTCCAACCGGGTAGCCTGGCTAGACCTTTCTCTCCTGACCAGTGTAGCCTGCTGCCTCCCAATAAGGGCGGGATGAAGAGGAGCCGGAAGACGTGCTCCAGGGCCAGCCTGGTGACCATGCCCTTTCTCCTGGGGCTCATGCTGTGTCCGGGTCAGTACCCTGGGAGCTGGCTCTGAGGTGGAGGTCACTAGGATGAGTGTGGGAAGCATCCTCTCAGGATCCACACCGTGGGAAGGGAAGGAAGCAGGACTGGGCAGAAGGAGAAGTTGGGCTACCAGTTGGGGGCACACAGCCATCTCAGGGAGGGGAGGGGATGCCCACTTGCCAGCCAGAACACCGGAGACGTGAGCCATTAATGCAATTTTACCTCTTTCTGCCGGTGACTCTCAGGCATCTGTGCCGGCCTGAGGAGATTTCTTTAGGGATCTGTGTATTTATTTAGGTAAGGTGAAGAAGATTCCCAGTGCCCTTGGCTGCTTCCAAAATCACTCCCAGTGGGCAGCAGCTTGTTCCTACAGCTGGGCCTCGACAGGGGCCTATAAAATGTGATGGTGGAAAAAGGAAGCTAAGAGAGCCTGTTCCATAGGAACTTGGCTTTATTTCTCTCAGCTCCAAATTTGTGGGGGTTTTCCCTTTCGCTTCTGGCACAGTCTGCAAACCTGGATTCCAGTGTCTGCCAACTTGAGATGGAAACCGTGGGGATTGGCTCATGGCCTTAAATATATAGATGAAGAGTGTTTCACTGCTGTTCAGAATTGGATGAGGCTCTGCTGAGATCGAGTCATGAGGGAGCCTTAAAAAGGAAGGAAATTCTGGCACATGCTCCAACACGGATGAACCTTGAGGATATTATGCCAAGTGAAACAAGCCAGTCACAAAAGGACAAATACTGTAGATTCCACTTATATGAGGTACCCAGCATAGTCAAATTCAAGGAGGGAAAGTAGAATGGTGGTTGCCAGGGGCTGGTGGAAGGGGAAATTGGGGAGCTAGTGTTTAGTGGGTTCAGAGTTTTAGGTTTGTAAGAAGAGTTCTATTTCACAACAATGTGAATGTACTTAACACTACTGAACTGTACGCTTAAAAATAGTTAAGATGGTAAATTTTCGTTATGTATTTTTTACCACAAGTCAAAAAAAATAGTCGTGAGGGAAATGCTCCTTCCAGCATCGGTTCTCTGAGGACCGAATTCTCGGGTCCTCAATAAGTTGGGCTCAGTATGATTCCAGTAGTTTTGTGGTTGTTCTGTTGAGTCATGTACCTTTTTTATTCAAGGCTCTTTGGCAGGATCCAGAATTTTAAGCAATTGAAAGGAGAGCAGATGTTAAGCTGGTGCCATGAGGCAGATCAGAACTCAGGAGGCCTCCTGTCACCAGCCTTCTGTCCCCTCCATTCTAGAAAGGCCGTCGGGTCCCCTCTGGGGAGAGCTGAGGCTGTTAGCTTCTCGGTTCCTTCTGACCTCCCTGGGTAACGCACTGCCTCGGCCAAGCTGGAGGTTGGGGCAGGCAGGAGAAGGGCCATTTGCACTGTTTATGTGGCTGACCTCATAATTTCGTTTGCTTTCTTGGTGTGCAGATTCCTTTGGCTGCCGCAATATTTTCCGCAAAACCTCAGACTCCAATTGTGTGGCTTCTTCTTCCATGGAGTTCATCCCCGTGCCACCTCCCAGGACCCCCAGGATTGTCAAGAAACTGGAGCCCCCTCAGCCAGGGCCTGGAAGCACCGGAATCCCCCCCAAGGAAGACCCCCTGATGCTGGACATGGTGCGCTCCTTTGAGTCTGTTGATCGCGATGACCAGATAGACCTGCTTTCCCCGTCCCATCACTATAGAATTCTAAACTCTCCCGTGGGCTTGGCTCGCGGAAATCCCAGCGAGCGGACGCTCTCCCCGGTTCTGCTGCCCGGAAGCCCATCACCTCTCCAAACTCCTTTGCATCCCACTCTCGTCTCCTTTGCTCACGAAGATAAGAACAGCCCCCCAAAAGAGGAGGGCGTGTGTTCCCCACCTCCGGTTCCCAGTCACAGAACCACGCAGCCTCTGGGGAGCCCGAATTGTGTGAAGAGCCGAGGCAGGTTCCCCATGATGGGCATCGGACAGATGTTGAGGAAGCGGCATCAGAGCCTGCAGCCCTCGGCGGACAGGCCCCTGGAGGCCAGCATGCCCCCGCTGCAGCCCATGGCCCCCGTGAGCCTCTCCTTTGACATGGCTGACGGGGTCAAAGGCCAGTGTTAGTCTGGGCCAGCGGCAGGATTCTGGGTTCTTCTAAAGGAGGTGATGGAATAGAGCTCCACACATCTGTCAGGGTGTGAAGATTCCATGGCCTCATCTTCTCCTGCCGTGCAACGTCCCAACTGTGGAACAGCTGAAATCCACAAATCCAAAGCCTATACAACCCAGTCCCGCGTAGGGACCGCCAGAGATGCTGGAATCCACTAGAAGCGTTGGCTGCGGGTGCAGCCGGTTCCAATCATTCATGTCATTCTTCCTCCCTCCTACTCACCCGCCCTCTGCCCACCTCCCTCAGCTGGGCTCCGGGGCGAAAGCCGGCATCGGCCTCTGGGCTACTCCGATTACTGACTGTTACTCGACCTTTCTTCACCCTGTGCTCTGTGTGTGCCTCTCAGTGGATTGTTCTCTTTTCAGCAGTCGGCCGCGGTCGCGTGGGGACTGACTGAGGCATCACAAAGCAGTTCATCTGGGCCACGGTTTCCCTTCCTTTTGTAGCAGTGAGTCCTGCAGGCTGGCGGGAGCTGGCCACCCAGCGTGGAGCACCAGGCCCCGAACCTCAGAGGAAGACGGGCAGGAACCTCTGCCACCAGCACCGCCTCCTCTGAGCAGAAAGGGGCAGCTGGGCAAGGACTGATCTAAACAGTAGGGACCCCCAGAAAAGAAAAAGACTGAAGGGGACACTCATTTGCCAAGCAAGGTTTTGACAGATTTTTTTTGTTTATTGGTTGGAACTTGCTAATGGTCGAATTATCTTCTCCAAAGATGATTTCTCTTTATGTGAGGTCGTTAAATCGAAGTAACAATTTTTAAAAACCTGTATAGAGAGACGAGAAGCGATTCCACCAAACTCATGTTTTCCCGAAAGGCTAAGCATGAGAGCATAAGAGCTCACCAGGGGATGTTTTCAGTGGCTGGTGGACCGCAGGAGCCTGCAGGAGGGGCATGGTCCCAGCCGGCCCTGTGTTCTTCCCACTGCATCAACAAAGCCCTGATCCTTCTGGAAGGCATAGAACATAATTACATTTGATTATTTAGAAAGAGAGAAAATGGTTAAGGTTGAATTTGGATGGCAAGAAGACACCATTACCTCTGTGCAATACAGTTTTCAAGCTGCCAAGAGAAAAAGTGAGGTTTAGAGAGCTCAGCTGGTTTGCTGTGAGCTGTGAGCAGGCTGGCCTGGCTGGCGGGGATCATGTTCCTAATACGGTACGTGTCTTCTTGGAGGGAAGCAGCGTTTCTCCAATAGGCTTTTGAGTCCGTGTTCTGTTCTCACACCTTTTGCCAAGGATTGAACCAAAGATGCGTCTCCGGTTCTGTGTCAGTGCCGTCCCTGTGTGCGTGTTTTGTGGACCCTAGTGTTGTCTGACCATTTCCAGCTGGAGCCTGGGCCCTGGCACTTGGTGGGGGGGGCCCCTTGGTCGTGAGCAGAATTGAGAAAAGAAGAAGAATTAGCACAGGTTGGAGCGCCATTAGCTCAGGAGACAAGTTACCCCACGGCCTGGCGTCTTCAACTGTTGACAAGTGCAGGTGTGACCAGAAACCACCGCTGTGGTGGTCACTCCAAGGCTAGTCTTCTCAACCCACTTGTTCCAGAACAGACCTCGGCCCTTGAGAATTGCAAAGCCTGCCTTCATTTCCATTGGCAGCCAGCCCATGCCGGAGAGTGGTGAGGTGGTTCTTCATCTTTTCTCATTTACCAGTAGTGATTTCCTTTGGCCCTCACGTCTGTGACTGAGTGAGGAGAGCACGCATATTTGGCTGGCCCCAGAAGCCACCTTGATGCCCAGTCCTGGCTGCTTCCCCTTTGATGGGATCGTCCCCACTCTAGGGGTTCTTATGAGGAGGTCAGGCTTCTGGCTGTTGTGTTATTCCTTTGTATGGCTCCAGACTGGGTTCCAGAACTTTCCATTGAAAATAGAGCTTTTTAGGCAGAGAGAAGAAAAGAAGCTTTTCTGAAAAAGACTCTCTCCATTTGATGTGAAGTGTTTGGTTTTCGATCAGTGAAGAAACCTCTTTTGATGGTGTCCAGCTGCGAGTGTCCCGCTCTGCAGGTTCCCAGGCTGTGTTCCTGTGCCTTGTGGACCTCCTCTAGTCCTTTGTGTCTCTTTCTTGTATCTTACCTTCCTTGAGAGCGTGAGCGTTTCTGTGTCGCCGTTAGCTTGTTGGAACTTGTTTCCTGTTCCTTGCTTGCTTCAAGAACAGCTGTGGACTGTCATCCAGCTAACTGACTGCATCACCGTTGGTAACTTGAACTGTGACCTCAGGTTTATTCCGAACCCAGTGAGACGTGAGGGGGAGTGGGGAAGGGGGGTAAACCGTATTTTTGTGTGTGTGAGCACCTGACAAATCTATGAAATCGAGCGAAAGAAGAAATGTTAAATTCTTTATTATTTTATTATATTTATATGGAAAACTTGAGTATCCTTTGGTTAGTACAAAGCGTGTTGTCTCTGTGACCCGTGACTGTCTCTCATTAGTCTGAGCCTGTGTTCTTAGTCAGCCTGTAGTGACTGACGGATGTGACTGAACTATCATCGTGTGAAATCTAGAAGGAAGTCAACTTTAATTGTACGATTTGGTCATAAGTAAGGACTGTATTTATGTCACCATTATTAAATATATGTACTTTTATAATGACTGTGAAATACACTTTTCCCTCGCTATGACTGCTTCCTTTATTTTGCTGATAAACCTGAAAAATTGAGTATGTTGCAAATAGTCGTACCATCTTCTGTGTAAATTTCTTGGCCCAGCAACTGACTGGATCCAAGGGGGAATCAAGTTGTGGGCATTTGAGGGCATTTTCCGCTTCAGGATCCCTCCTTCATTTCACCTGCAACTGGTGTGTCTGCAAAAGTCTACCTCTGACATACGGCAAAGGGCAGATCAAGATGAATCACCATTTTTCTTTTTGGGGGGATCTGGATGTCCCATGGAGACTCTGAAAATGGTACATGAAGAATGACATCTGTAAACACTACCTCTAAAATTTTGTCCTTGTTTTTAGACCTTGGTGAGGAGTGGGGAAGAGCGATGATGGGGTGGAATGGAAGGGGGGTCTAGATTGGCTGTTGGATCGTCCCAGTTCCGACTTTATTCATAACTGTTCACAAAAAGGTTTTCATATATACCACCTTGCTTAAACCGTTGTGTCCCCTGTACAGTGTGGCTCAGAGGGTGGCAGGGTAGAAAGTGGAGAGACTCATTGTTTCTCTACATGAAGCTCTCTCTGAAGTTTGATGAGGTGGGTCGGGGCAAGAATGAGTATCTAGTTTTGATAATGATATTTTCTTTTAGGAATCACAACATTTTAGAACAGAAAGGGACCTGAGATTATCTGGTTCTAACTTTTTTAGAAAAAGAGAAAGCTAGGGCCCTGAGTGGTTTAAGGACTCCCAAATGTCCCTGAGTGAGCTGGCCTCACGGTGAGTCTGGGGTACAGGGCGTCTCCCTCAAAGAACAGGGAGAAATCAGAGAGTGTGGCCACCATGGATAGAGGCGAAGGTCAACAGCAGATCAAGCTGTCATTACAGCGGGTATCTTTGAGGTCCCTACATGGACCAGGTCTTTGCATTTTTAAGTCGTTCTCAAAATTGTGCAGCTTCTTGCGATTCTGAGCATCACACTGTGTCCACCATCCACCGTCGACTCTCGAAGCTGAAGAAAGGCTTTCTCAACAGATCTCCCAAGTAAGCAGCGACCCCTGGTTAGCCTTGTTATCTAGTTTTAGCTATCAAAAGGCTTTTGGGTTTTACTACATTAAATCCATGAAACATTTTCTATATAGCCACGTCATAAAGTGAGACAAATTCAGAAAGAATGCAAGACTGATATTGTTAGGGGGTCTGGAAGCCACTTGGTTATTGCATTTTTTTTTGGTAGGACCCTCCATGTGCTACAGGCAGAGTAAGAATAATTCAAAGCAGTCCTGGGAGCTGGTTCAATTTAATGTCATCACTTTTCAATGAAAGGAGCGTATTTCCTGAGTAGTAAATGAGTGTATTATTTGCGGCAGCTTTTTTTGTCAAGGGAGCTTTTCAGACATCTGGTTCCAAAGACAATTGGGATATATATCTGTACTTCTTTTCTGGGGCCCTGTTTTCAAGACACGGTTATCTCTGAGATCTGATGTCTGAGGCACCAAGGGCCTGGGGATGCGGGAGGGGTGCGGAGCATTTCGAAAGGCCTTTGCAGTCCCCTTTCTCAGGAACATCTACATCTGGGCTGATGTGCAGATAAGGAAGCATTTTGGGGAACCAACTCAGGGATCAACTGGATTGAGTGATGTACAAGTTAACGAAGGCACATCTCAGAGAGGACAGGGCCAGGAAGCTGCGTTATTTACAGGTGAAAGGAATAAACGATTCTGATTTAAAGGCTGGAGCTAGTTACACAACATATTCCCTGCTCAGAAGATGGCCCGTAAGCTATTTTGAAAGAAAAGGCTTTGGCTCATATCATAAAACCTCAAAATAACAAAAATGGATTCTTCCTAGGCCTTGTGACCACAGCCAGCTGGAAAAGGGCAGTTTGCAAGGCTGTGTCAGGAACAAGCCTTCTCAAAAGTTAGGCAGTGGGGCTGGCCTGGTGGCGCAGTGGTTAAGTTTGCATGCTCTGCTTCGGTGCCCCGGGGTTCGCAGGTTCGAATCCCGGGCGCAGACCAACGCACTGCTCAGCAGACCATGCTGTGGCAGCGTCCCACACACAAAATAGAGGAAGATGGGCACAGATGTTAGCTCAGAGCCGATCTTCCTCAGCAAAAAAGAGGAAGATTGGCAACAGATGTTACCTCAAGGCCAATCCTCCTCACCAAAAAAAAAAAAAAAAAAGAAAGGCAGTGAATTCATGGCAGGTCTGAGACGAGACTGCCTTCCTGTGACCCTTTCATCTGTGTTTCTCTCTTCTCTGGTAACCAGTGTGTCAGATAGATTAGGCTGTGCTATGATAACAAATTAAACCCCAAATCTTCAACCTGCCTGATAAAGATTTATTTCTTACACGCATTTTTATGCAGCTTGGCTGACTCCAGAGCAGCTGCCTTCCATGTGGTGACTCAGGAATCCAGGCCACTTCCAGCTGTGGCTCCAAACGCTCAAAATGACATTTCTCTGGCAGCTGCAGCAGAGGAAGGGCGAGCTGGAGAGTTTTCCACTGGCCCTTGAGTGCTCTGTGAGGGGCTGGAACTAGTCCTGCCTCTGAGCAAGAGGCTGAGAAATGTGGGGGAGTGTATGGATATTTGGGGTGCAGTTAATGTTTCTGCCACAGGGAAGGTACAGATGCCTACTACTTAAAGGTCCCCTAAAATTG